TGGTTATATTTTGTTTAATATAAAAACATTTTAAATTTTTTGTCCTAGAATGAAATTTATCATTGTCAAAGATGATAATGTTTATCCTAAAATTTTAAATGTTCACTGTACACTGCCCTGTTCTATTCTCTGCAAGTCTGTATTAACCAAATTTGATCAACAGTAAGCATTTTGATGGCAGAGACTAGGTCTCTTACCTGTGTGTTCCTAGCATTAAACATAGTAACACACAGTATAGATGTTCAATATTTATTGAAAAAATAACAGAATGAAAGTTATGTATCGGAATAATAGTGTTAAATGTGGCCAGGAGCAGTGGCTCGTGCCTATAATCTTAGCACTCTGAGAGGCCAAGGCGTGAGGATTGTTTGAGGCCAGGAGTTTGAGACCAGCCTGAGCAAGAGTGAGACCCCTTCTCTACAAAAAATAGAAAAATTAGCCGGGCATGGTGGCGCATGCCTGTAGTCCCAGCTACCTGGGAGGCTGAGGCAGGAGAATCGTTTGAGTCCGGGGTTTGAGGTTGCTGTGAGTTATAATGATGCCACTGCGCTCTAGCCCAGGCAACAGAGCAAGACTCTGCCTCCAAAAAAAAAAAAAAAATTATGTTAGCATTGTGAAAATTTAATCATCTTTCTCATAAAAATGTGACTTAATGACATTGTGAAAGTCATGCATTTTTTAAAATCACTTTCTACCCTGTATAACAAAATCTTTTCTTGACTTTTTATAGTTAAAAATACAAAATGCACAGAAAAGAAAGACATAAGTATTCAGCTCAGTAAATTTCCACACACTGAACACTCACAGAGTCAACACCCAAATCATCAAACAGAATTTGACCTGCCCCTCAGAAGTCCTTCCGTGCTCTGTGAAGTCATTACAGTGCTTTTTAGCAGCATTAGTTTTGCAAAATTATTTTATACTTAAATATTAATTCAAGGCAAGCAACAAATCAATTGAATAGAAAATTTTCTTGTTCTATGACAAAGCAAGTTAATGATTTAATATTCATTATTAGTAGCCAGTATTACAAAATGGAAATAATAATTCCTTTTAGTACCAATTATTTTTAGTAGTTTTAATTTAGTACTAACCAGGAAACAAAATTATTTGTAAATAATCACACTCTTGCATACTATTCAACACAGAAATGTTAATAGTAAGCATTAAATAATACTCATTTGAACTTTTGTGTTAATTAACAAGGAGCAGTAAATTCTTTTTAAAATTTTTAGTTGGCACATAATAATTGCACATATTTGGGGCACAGAGTGATCTTTCAGTACATGTATACAAATAATGATCAAATCTGGGTATTAGCATATCTGTTACCTTAGAAATCATTTCTTTATGTTGGAAACATTGAAAATACTCTCTTCTAGCTATTTGAAAATATACAGTAAATTATTGTTAACTGTAGTGGCCATACAGTGCCACAGCACACTAAAACGTATTCATCTTATCTAGCTGTAATTTTTGTCTGTTAACCAACCTTTCCCTCTTTTCCCCTCTCCCCACCCTTCCCATCCTCTAGTAACCACAATTCTACTCTCTACTTCTATGAGCTCAACTTTTTTAGCTCCCACATATGAATGAGAAGATGCAGAACTTACCTTTCTGTGCCTGACTGACTTCGCTTAATATAATGTCCTTCTGGCTCATCTATGTTGCTGCAAATGACAGGATTTCATTCTTTTTTATGGCTAAATAGTACTCCGTTGTGTACATATACCACATTTTCTTTATCCATTTATCCACTGTTGGACACTGAGGTTGATTTCATGTCTTGGCTTTGTGAATAGTGCTGCATTAAACATGAGAGTGCAGATACCTCTTCGACATGTTGATTTCCTTTCCTTTGTATAAATATCCACTAGTGGGATTGCTGGAGCATATGGTAGTTCTATTTTTAGTTTTTTGAGGAACCTCCACACTGTTTTCCATAATGGCTGTACTAATTTACATTCCCATGAAAAGTGTATGAGTTCCCTCCCCCCTTCCCCCATCCTCACCAGCATTTGTTATTTTTTGTCTTGTTGATAATAGCCATTCTAACTGGGGGGAATTCCTTTTAAGCTCTTATGTCTACTAGTCAGATCACTGTACCTAATTTTTGTTTGACTTTCATTTTAGAGCTATAGTTCTCAACAAGGAAGGACCTGAGTTTGCCTCCCCGGGGACTTTTTGGCAATGTCTGGAGACATTTTTGGCTGTCATTAACTGGAGGGTGCTACTGACATCTAGTGGGTAAGGGCCTGGGATCCTGCTCAACCTAATTTCCAGAACAGACTCCCCCCCAAAAAAATTAACTAGCTCAAAATGTCAATAGTGCCAAGGTTGAGAATAGTATTTTCTAAAGAATGGGTGACTTTTGTGTTTGATGGAGGTTAGTTCATTTTTTGGCTATATCCTGATACATCCTTGCATGATGGAGGTTAGTTTAAATAGGTTATAGCACGTTACTAATGGAGTCCAGGGTATCAGGAATTTAATTCTCATAGACTAGTTAATCTCTCTGTAGTCCGTGCACTTCAGACCCCAACCAGATGTCTTAAACATTTCTGCTACAGATTGCAATAAGGACAAGATAAGACAATGTAGATGGGTTGGTATATAAACCTATCACTGCTTCTGGAACTGTGTCTCAAAGCATGATGTTTTTTTACTTAATCCAAATCTGTCTCTTCCCATGTGACTAGTTCTCACTTGGAAGAAGGTTATAAACTTTGGCTAGCAGCATTGCTTAATTTTGTTATTAGCTGAATTAGACCTGAATTAGACCTGAATTATTGTTCTATAGGCTTGAGGCCAGAGTGAATGTTACCTTATGGGCAGGCAGTTGTCCAGCTCCAACCACAGTCTTCTGCCATCTTTTGGGAGGCATTGAGAAGGCCAGTAGCTCTCACAGACACTCATACCCACACACCCCTTCCCTGTTCCTTTCTTCCAGCGACTATAGGAGGTCAGAAACACGAGAGTATACATAAATGCTGGTAATTAGTGGAAATTAATATCTGATAAAATTGTCTTTCATGGCTGTCACTCAGGGAATAGTTTTTTTGTGTATTTCACTGTCCCCTTGTGAACTTACTCCATCCTTGACAAGTCGATCTACCATGAGCAAAGAACCACATTTGAGCTATGGCCCTAAAACATTTGTTGGTATGCAAGAAAGAATTATTGATAATATATTACCAATTCTGACTTTCATTGTAAAGTATTTCTCTAAAAATATTACCTCAAAGAACACTACAATAAACTAAGATTTGTATAGTTGGAATTTTAAGTCTGTAAGTCCTTAAACTTAATGGAGAAGAAGATTAGTGTAGAATTTGATCATTTGACTATGCTCATTTAACTTTGAAAGCAGATATAAATAAAAATGTTGTGTAAAGAAAATTACTTGTGATAATTTTCATAAAGTATCTCTTTTATGTTAAGGTGTTTATTTGTATTATGGGAGCATAGCTTTATTAGTACTTTTAGTCCTCCTAAGAAGAGGTGAAATCCTTCATAGAGCTCTAGGCCTTTTTAGTCTTTAGTAGAAATTTGATAAGTTAGATATGTTTGATGGTTGGGAGGAAACACGTGGCATAATGAAAAGAACATTCACTTTCATGCCAGATCTAACTCCAGATTCTACCACTTACGAATTGTTTGACCTTGGACCCCTTAACTATTGTGGTCCTGCTTCAGCATCTGAAAAGAAAGGAGAATACTTAAATGATAAAATTAGAGAAGAAGTAAATAAGATAATCATGCAAAAGAATGGTCAGGAGGAGGGCAGGATACACATTATTTGGAGTCATCAGTTTACTTGAAAGTGGATTGTAGTGATCAAGAGCACAGGCTTGGGGCAGAGGGGATGGGTGAAATCACACCTGACAGGTACATTGTCTGGGTGATGGGGACACTTACAACTTTGACTTAAGCAGTACAGAAGCAATCCCTGTAGCCCAAACATGTGTACCCCTGTAATATTCTGAAAGAAAAAAGAAAAAAAGAGAGAGCCCAGGGTTTGGAGCCAGACCAATGGAGTCCGGACTCTGGCTCTGTGGGTGATCTCTGGCTGTGCCCATGGCCAACTGCAGCTATTCGACTGGCCTGGAATGGGATGTGACCTGCCCAGGGCCACATGGTGAGTCAGGGCAGAGCAGTTTGAGGCTCTACTCTCTAAGTTGCCTTTTCCTTCCCTGTGAAATCATTCTGTTGGTGACTCTCTCTCAGCCTGTTGTAAGGAAAGATGGCGATTGTGGTTGTAAGAAGCAGCTCATGGTGCCTGGAGCAGGGCAAGCACCAGTAAATGAAGGTCGCGAGTACACTAGAATGTGGTGCTTATTCTCTTTCCGGAAGTAGTTCATCTGTCTGTTGATGAGAGCCACACACTGTACGCTAAGTCTCAAAACTTGGGGAGTTGATTAGGTTCTTAGTGCTGCATTACACTAATAATGCTGATGTATAGTTTAAATAATAACAAAGCTAATTAGTATAAATACTGCAATGCAAATAGTATACTTGGAACAAAGTTTATATAAGCATTTTACCCTTTTTTCTTAGATTGGCTTATTTTTAGAGCACGGCACAAATCGTGCAGGGAAGGAGGGGGGCGAGCAAGATCGGCGTCCGAGAGCAGCGTGGAGGCGGTGCAGTAGCGAGCGGGGATGGGCACCCAGGTTAAGTGGCGGCAGAGGCCGTGGTGAATGTGAACAGGCTGTCCTCGAGGCTTGAGGTTCGATAAAATAGATAGTTTTTACTGCTTCATCAAGGATACTCTAAAGGAAAACCGCCATCCTTTTTTTCACAGCGAGTACCTGGCAGAGAAGAGTACAACTAATGCTATAGCGCGGTACCACTGCCTTCCTTCTTGACCAGGCGCCAGCAGTCTTACCCACCATTGCTTTTATACCATCAGTGCAAATGTCAACGCAGTGAGAGAGTACTGAGTTTTCAAATGTGCTACTTCCAGTAACAGGCGTCATCCTTTCCCCCTTTGGCTGCAGATCCTAATTATCTCATGGCTAACGAACGCATGAACCTGATGAACATGGCCAAGCTGAGCATTAAGGGCTTGATCGAATCAGCTCTGAACCTGGGCAGGACCTTAGACTCCGACTACGCACCTCTCCAGCAGTTCTTTGTGGTGATGGAGCACTGTCTGAAACACGGCTTAAAAGGTAGGCTGCGGCGTCAAAATGCAGATGTGCACGCAGCTGCTGCCTAGCAATACGTACTCAAGAAGAAAACATTCTTGAGTACTTTGAGTACATTCTTGAGGCTTGAGTTAATAATATTAACCCGTTGGAATGCAACCAATGTGTGAACAGGGTGATGGGTGACTTCAAGGACTTACAGGGTTTAAAAAATACAGATCATTAGATGTTAGAGCTGGAAGGGCCATTATAAGTAATAAAGTCCAGCACAGCAGTTCTGTTAGACAGGAAGAATAGGCCTGCCTAGAATGGGACGTGACTTGCCCAAGGTCACTCAGTGAGTTGGGACAGAGCAGGTGCTGGAACTCAGGTGTCCTGACTCCTGCTTCAGTGTTCTTTCCACTTAACCATAAGCTATTGAGGGCAGGGCCTGGCCTTGTTCACCTTTGCTTCCTTTCTTCCTCCCTTCCCAATATTCAATAGCCTGTTTCTGGATTACATTATTCTTTTCCATTGCACTGTTTTCTTCGTTAATATCACAAGGTTTTAAGTACCATTTATTAAAATGTTTTATTTTATTATAAGGCTAGGCCACAGATTCTTCTTGAAAGAAGAATGACTGACTCTTAGGAAGTAGAGAATTTTTTAGTTCCACAAAATATTATCTATTCTGAAAGCATGAATAATTCTAAAACTGTCTAATAACCTAGGATGGGATTCCCAAAAAGAACATTGAATAGATGGGACAGGTATGTGTGTCGGTATATTGAGAAAGTGTTTATGTTGTAAGGAATATTAAAATATTGCTTGTTTTTGTTGTCTTAGCTAAGAAAACTTTTCTTGGACAAAATAAATCCTTCTGGGGGCCGTTAGAACTGGTAGAAAAGCTTGTTCCAGAAGCTGCAGAGATAACAGCAAGTGTTAAAGATCTTCCAGGACTTAAGTAAGTCTAAGGTCAATTTCTCGTTCTCAGGAACAACATTCTTGATAATTAAATGCTTGAAGAGTAAGACTAAAGATAACAATGTCCGTAATATTAATAATTTCTTTCATAACAATCCAAACTGTATAATGTTATGAATAAGCACTGTTATGAGGGAACTGGTATATAGAATATTAAGAAAAGTGTGCCTTCAAGGGATAATTATTCATCAAGTGGTTGTCTTCATGTTGAAATACCAAACGTTTCCTTATTTTTTATTTTATCTTTTTATTTTTTAAAGCTAGTCAAGCGTAATTGTGGGGGGAGCATTTCCTTATTTTTTAAAGCATTTGTGAAAATCAGTGAATCTCAAGACATTCGATCTAGGGAGGTGGCATGCTAGACTTGACTTGGGGAAAGAATGTATTTGATGGGGTTTGAGAGTCAGGATTAAAACCAGTGAACCTCAGGATCTGACACCTATACCCTGCCTTAGAACTTGAAAAAGGATAGTGATCACCTTCCCAAGTGAGACTGGTTTCGTTTTCATCAGAGGCCTAAATTGCCTGTGTCCACATTAGTACTTGGTATTTATATAATCCACTCTAAAGTTACGAGGATTTACCAATGCTCATCTGATGGAACATTTTTAATCAGGCCTCCCCGAGGTCTCGTCCTCAGCTTGTAGTCACATTCAGTAATTCTTTACAAGAGAATTGTCCCAAACACACTCCTGGGTCCCAGTAGCCCACCCTAACTTCCTTGCATAGGAATGTGGTGGGAGAAGTTGTGAGGAAAAATCCGTTTGTTACACTAGGAGACCATTAGCGAGAGACGTGAACCTGTTCCACTGTAGCCCTTGCTTCTCTTACTTATGTTTTTAGTTGTTTGGTGTCTGTGTTTTTGTAGGACACCAGTTGGCAGAGGAAGAGCCTGGCTTCGTTTGGCATTAATGCAAAAGAAACTCTCGGAATATATGAAAGCTTTGATCAATAAGAAAGAACTTCTCAGGTACGAGCACCTTCTTGAACTTTCTTCTTTCCTTGGTATGTTCTATGTCATATAAAGTTGAACCATATAAATTTGCCATTTTTTGTAGATCAGAAACAGTTAATTCATAACAATTACACTAATACTTTCTCCCACACCTCACACACACAGACTCCTAAATGGATGTTTTATGTTATTTGTGTCATCTGTCACTATGGCGTATACAGGGGTCCTTTCCAGAGCAGGCAAAAACTTACCTCCAGAAAACAGGAAAGGCACCTTAGCAAGTGCCCAGGCTCAATAAGACAAGAAGTTGACCTGTGCATTAAATTGAAATTAGAACAAAAAAAATTTCCCGATGGATCATAGATATAAGCAGGAGAGGGAAAACAATAAAACTTTTAGAAGAAAACATAAGGCAGGCAGAAATTTCTTAAACAGGATGCAAAAAGTATAAAGGAAAAAAATGGGTAAATTGGTCCACATTAAAGTGAAGAACTTCTGTTCATCAAAAGGTCCTTAAGATTGAGGGTGAAAGGCAACCCACAGGGTGAAAGGAGATATCTCTAATACATAACACATACATTCAACAAAGGGTGCATATTCAGGGTACCTAAAGAACTCTATAGTTCCAGTAAGAAAGATGCAGACAAGCAAATATATAAATGGGTAAAAGACTTAAACAGGTATTTCACAAAAGAGGATACTGAAATGGCCAGTAAGCATAAAAAGATAACCATCTTCACCAGCCATCATGTAAGTACAAATTAAAGCAACAATGTGATGATACTGCTATTTACCCAAAATTGCTAAACTGAAAAGACAGATAATACCAAAGTGTTGCTGAGGATGTGAAGTGACTTTAATGTTCTGTTGATGGGACAGAGTTAATTGGTACAGAAATTTAGGAAAACTGTTTAACATTATCTATTAAAGCTGACCATAAGCATACCTCATGACCCAGTAAGTCTAGGTGTTATATCCAATAGAAATGCATAATTATGTTCAACAAAAGACATGAGCAAGAACATTCATAGCTATTCCAGTGTTGGTAATAACCCCAAATGTTGTAATAGACCCCAGTGTCTATTCACAGTAGAGGGGATAAGTAAACTGTAATGTATTTATACAATGAAATACCATATAGCAACTATACACAGCGACATGGATTAATCTCTCAAGTATAATGTTGGGCAAAAAAAATCAGACATAGAAAATACATGTGTTTTGTTTCATTTATATAAAGATGAGAAACATATAGAAGTAATCTTTTATGATAAGAAAGAGGCTACCATTGGCCAAGTGGAGATAAGGTAGTAAATAGCAGAAGGGCAAAAAGTGGCTTCTGAGGTTCTGGTAATATGTTATTCCTTAATTTGGGTACACAAGTGTGTTCTCTTTATTAAAATGCATTGATACGTATGATATGATTTGTGTACTTTTGAATATATGCTCTATAGGTCATTAAAATTAACCATAATAAATTTGAATATAGTAGATTCCCTCTGAGAAATAATCTAAGAGGAAAAACAAGGATGAGAGAATTTAAAGAAATAGCTGGATTTTCTAAGAAGCTAATTTTTACAAGAAATAGCCATCCAGATCCTAATGGAGAATTGATTTATGTTGCTGCAGTTACATATGCCTTTGATTGCTGTTTTCTTGCCTAAGAAAATCTAGCAAATTGGGAGAAAGAGAAATAGGAACTGTCCAGGGAAACTTATTTATTTCTACAAAGGGAAAGCTCAACTTTCCAGAGCCAAGCCTTGAAGTAGTGTAGGGTCTAGTGTTCAAGCTATAGGTAGCTGCCAGGGGAGTGTCTTTAATCAAAATCATGTAGTTGGCTGGGCGTGGTGGCTCACGCCTGTAATCCTAGCACTCTGGGAGGCCAAGGTGGGTGGATTGTTTGAACTCGGGAGTTCGAGACCTCATCTCTACTAAAAAACATAGAAAGAAATCTGCTGGACAACTAAAAATATATAGAAAAAATTAGCCAGGCATAGTGGCACATGCCTGTAGTCCCAGCTACTTGGGAGGCTGAGGCAGAAGGATCGCTTGAGCCCAGGAGTTTGAGGTTGCTGTGAGCTAGGCTGACGCCACGGCACTCTAGCCCGGGCAACACAGTGAGACTCTGTCTCAAAAAAAAAAAAAAAAAAATCATGTAGTTCTAAGTGGGGTCTGAAGAATTAGCTCTTTGTCCACAGAGCACCAGTGTAAATGAATTCAGTCTTGTGAACTGGGCAGAGCAGTTCTTTATACATGACTTCACTTACTCGGACCCAGCAACTTGACTCCTAGGTATGTCTAACAGAAATGCGTGTGTATGTGTTATCAGAAGGTACTAGAAACAACCCAAATGTCTATGAACAATAAATACAATGGATACATTGTGGTATATACCTACCATAAAATGCTGTCCAGCAATGAAAACACATGAACTATAGCTACATACAATATATTCAAATTGCACAACTAAAATGTTGCGCAAAGGAAGCCAGACACAAAAGAGTATATGCGATTTCATTTATATAAAGTTCAGAAATAGTTAAAATCAATCTACAGTGATAGAGATCAGGACAGTGGTTACATTGGGGAAGTGAGGGTGGTGATTGAGAGAGAAAAAGCAGATTTCTGGGTTTCCAGTAGTGGTCTCTTTTCTGATCAGGATAAACAAACCATGCAAATGTTTTAAGATGCATAAAAAACTTACACATTATTCTATGGTGCATCGTAAATACAAATATGTCAGAAAAATATGAATACTCACTTCAACCACAATACCATTCTGATCACATTTTTTTTAGCCAGACTGTTATCTAAGGAATCTATTCATGCACCTAGTATCTAAAATAAAATATCTATCAAAGCCTTTTTTTTCCTTTTTCACTGTTAACATAGATGACCATATTCAACCTTGAAGCAAGCATTTTTTTCCTTGTCTCACTCATGATTACATCATTGGATATTGGAGGTTTTATTACAGTAAAGAATTCTGTGGATTTCTCCAACAGTGAATTCTATGAACCCAATGCTCTCATGATGGAAGAAGAAGGAGCCATAATTGCGGGACTGTTGGTGGGTCTGAATGTCATTGATGCCAACTTCTGTATGAAAGGAGAAGATCTGGACTCTCAGGTATGGGAAGGATACTCAGTTACTGAGTGTATCACCCTGAGTTCTCTTATCTCAGAATTGGACTGATTGGATTACACCAACCAGATTGGGGTCGGGGGGAGATTCTATGTCATGAATAGGATTTCCTTTAACTTTGCTATGACTATTAAAAATGTTTGTTTTTCCTTCCAACTTGGCTTATTTATGCATTGTGAATATTTTCAGATTCTTGTCTTGGCTGTGATCCCTGTTATACATGTATACCTATGTACATACACATATATGAGTATAAATATATATAAAGAAACTTTAAACCTTATTTTTATTAGGTATTCTGTTGACTCTTCTAGTCATGATCTGGTCTTCTAGTCCTGTTGATTTAATCTTGAATCTTTGCTTACTTCCAACTCCTGTCAATTCTTTTTTTTTTTTTTTAATCAATTCTTGATTGTACTAAAAGTAAAGCTTTAAATTTTCACCATATATTTCTATTAACTGTCATGATTATAGTACTATTTTGAGTACCTAGAAAGAGACATTGTGTTATACCTCGCAAAAAGCATTTAATTTTATATTAATCCTGAAAATTCTCCCCCATAGGTTGGAGTTATAGATTTTTCAATGTATCTTAAGGATGGGAACAGCAGTAAAGGTAGTGAAGGGTATGTACAAAGAAAATCAGATTTCTTTTTTCTTCTCTGATATAGTATTTTTTGTCTTTGTTAGTATTTAAAATTTAGATCAATACTGTTTTAACAGACTTGCTGAAAGAATTTCTGATGATACAGCTTTAATAAAGTCTTGCCCAAAATACCTATTATGCCTACTGCTAAATCCTAAAAGGGTTTTTTTTTGTTTGTTTTTCTTTTTTGAGACAGAGTCTCACTCTATTGCCTGGGCTAGAGTGCTATGGTGTCAGCCTAGCTCACAGCAACCTCATACTCCTGGGCTCAAGCGATCCTACTGCCTCAGCCTGCCCAGTAGCTGGGATTACAGGCATATGCCACCATGCCCGGCTAATTTTTTCTCTCTCTATATTTTTAGTTGTCCAGATCATTTCATTCTATTTTTTAGTAGAGACAGGGTCTCGCTCTTGCTCAGGCTGGTCTCGAACTCCTGACCTTGAGCCATCCACCTGCTTCGGCCTCCCAGAGTTCTAGGATTACAGGCGTGAGCCACCGCACCCGGCCTCCTAAAAGGGTTTTTAACTGAGTAACTTTCCTGCTATGTGGTTCAAGGGCAAACAAAATAAAAATTTATAAAAGGTATCCAATTGCGCATCTCTTGTAGTGGGGTTTTAAAACATGGTCATTGTGACCGGAGGGATTGCATTTTCATCATAAATCAGTTAGCTTGAAATTTGCAATGCGCATCATGGGATTATGTAAAATATCAACATTAGGGAAACTGAGGGAAGGGTCTAGGGGAACTCTGTACTACCTGTACAACTCTTCTTGTAAATCTAAAATTATTTCAAAATAAAAAGTTTAAAAAATATCATTATGGTACTTTGTAATTAGAGATCAGTAGTGTACTTTATACCCTTTATAAATTTAGCAGTTGAAAGCATAATTAGTCTGATATTTTTAACCTTGGATATTAACCTAAGATTATGTCACTTGTTCTTTTGGTGATTGTACAGGTATGTGGCCTTAATTTTGACTTTCAGCAGAAAAGGCTGGCTGTTAAACTTTTGCCTATTATAGATTAGTTGGTTCTAGAAATGAACCTCCTTTTTCCATACTTTATTTTCTCAAATAATTAAAATACTTGATCTTTATGAAAGCCTTTTATACCATTCACTTTGAATGTAAACAGCACTTAAAGGCAAATATGTGGCCTTTGAGAACAACCGTATTATACTAGAATGAACTTAATTCTTATGAAAAATGGAAAATTGTTACTGCAAATAATACTAGCAAAGCTGAAAAACCTATAGCTAACAAGAACATTTTTATCCTTCAAATGTTTATGATAGAGTACAACATTCTACCTATAACCTAAATTATTAAGGTTTGTAAGCTACAACAAGTGCTTTATTAATGTGGGGTTTTTTTCATTTTAAACATCTGAGTGTTTCTGGTTGATTTGTCTAGGGGATTATACATCAGGTCTGTCTTCTGGTTCAATGCCACAATTTTTTTTTTTCCATGTTTCATGAAAAGATGGAGGAGGGGGATCAGGATCTTGGCGTTTCTAGTGTTATTTATTTTATTTCTATTTTCTCTCCTTTCCCCCGCAGAGATGGTCAGATTACTGCAATTCTGGACCAGAAGAACTATGTAGAGGAACTCAACAGACACCTGAAGTAATGAATCAATACATTCCTTGGGAATTGTTGAGGTAGAAGGGAAGGGCAGAATGATGAGCAGTGAGGATAAATTCTGACAATACTCATCAAACATATACAGAATTCCTGCTTGCCAGGCACTGAGTTAGGCACCTGATAAACGGCATTTAACTGTTTTAGTAACCTTTAATGAAAGGCAGTTAATATTAGTATTTAATTATAGCTCTAGTGATTAAATACATTTGGTGACAAATTTTTAAATAATGTGACATACACAGTTGAAATTGGCAGCCCTCTTGGTCCAGCAGATATAGCCACATACTTCAGGACTGACCTCGGGTAAACCACTCATTACTTTAGTACCTTTAGATGACTCATATCTCTTTGCTTCCCTGCGTTTCTCATTTATATATTGAATTGATGGTATTAGTTTACCTTTCTTCACCATCACTACCGTGAATTTACCAAGGACAGTAGTCCCCCCTTATCTGCAGGGGTCCTTCCCAAGACCCTCACTGGATGCCTGAAACCGCAGATAACGCCAAACCTTTTATGCACTGTGTTTTTTCCTATACATGCATACCTATGGTAAAGTTTAAATTATAAATTGGGGACAGTAGAGATTAACAATAACAAATAAAATAGAACAATTTTATTAATAAGAGTAATATGAATATGTTCTCTCTCTCTTTCTAACTCTATCTCAAATACTTTATTGTATTTGTATTTGTATTTGCACTCAACTGTTTTCAGACCACTATTGACTATGGGTAACTGAAACCATGGAAAGCAAAAATTGTGAATAAGGAGGGATTATTTTTAGAACTGTCCAAAACATGAGACAGTTTTCTGTCTTCAGAGGAGAGCTATGCAAAAGCTATTGGTATTTCTCAAGTACTTTGATGTTTTTGTTATGCTAAAGACTGCTGGATGATTTAGAAGAATAATTAATAGATTCATTAATTATTATCTTGTTCATACTTCTCTTATGAAAGATAGCCATTTTTAATTTAAGTGAGACCTCTAAGATGATTATACTAGTATCAATATAAATTTTGAGTAGGCTTGGTTCCAGCTGGCAAATTCAAGAATAGTTTAAGTACATTTTTTCTGGGGACCAAGAACTAATAGTGACTATAATGAATGGCGGAGATGTTAGCCAAGCAAAGATATGGTTACAGTCAGCAATGAAATATAAACAAGGACTCTTATTATTTACTCTTTCTTTGCCTTAGTTTATCTGTAATTGGGGATGCCTAACACATAGGGTTGTTAAAAGGAGTAAATGAAATAATGCAAGTAACATAGTTTAGAAGAGTGCTTGGTACATGTAAACACTTAATTCATGTAGCCTATTATTATCACAGATCTTAAAATTTATTGTGTAGTGCATCAGCTCTTTGATTTCAATGAACAAATACGTACTGAATTCAAATTCCAATGTCAAAGCCATAGCAGGTAAGGCAGACACAACCCTTTGTAAACTTAGAGCCTGTAGGTCTGCTGAGAATTGTGGCCATTAGACCATGAATGATGAGTGTGATGGGTGTTTAAAAAGGAAGGTAGAGGCTATTGTTCTTTTTTCAAAAGAGACCTATATTTTTTCTTCTTGATAGTGCTACTGTAAATAACCTCCAGGCAAAAGTAGATGCATTAGAAAAATCCAACACTAAACTGACAGAGGAGGTAAGTGTTTTGGAAATTCTTTCATTGACTTACAGAATTTAATAATGTGCATTGGTAGAACCAGTGATGTCTATGCAACCTCAGAAATGAAGGACTTGACTTTTCAGATATAGCTACTATAGAGTATGTAACTCCTTGTTCTGCTGGAATGGCCACTCAGCCTGTCGCAGGGGTGCCATTTACACAGTAGGACTGCGCAGGCTGTGTGGCCAGGGGTCTTGTTTACCTGGCGGGTCAAGTATCTTGATTTCTTTTGTGTGAATGTTTTGTCTGGGCTAGCGTAAAGTAAATGTTTAGCATACAGCATGATATTCATCATTTATTCATTCTGGAAAACATTTTTGGCACTATTTGTGTACAAGAGCCAGACAAAGGTTTTTATGTGCCAGGCATCGATTTATGTGTTCCAGGTTGGCCAACTCCCCACCCCCACAGACAGATAAGATAAAGAACAGGGGTCAGGAGACCAGTAGTCCCTGCTTACATGTCACACTACTTACATGTCATGTGCCGCTGAGTAAGTCAGTCACTTGACCATTAAGAGGCCCGGTTCTGTCACTGGCAGAGGATGGTGTTGACGGTCTACTTCCCTTTTCACCTCACAATGACTCTGAAGATCAGATAAAAATAGATGTATGTGTGAAAAGTCTTAGAAAAGTCCCTAAAATAAGAACAGAAAAACAACCCCATGTTTTACTTCTGATTAACAAACATATTTTTTCTAACTTGCCAAAGGATAAGCTACAGGGTTTTTTCATTAAATAGCATTAGATGTTTCTATGAAAGATACTAAATAAATAAATAAAAATATTAAATAAATACCCAGGTGGCAAAGTGTTTATCTTCTTTATTTCTAATTATAATGATTCTGTTACATACAGTGGGATAAATTCGGTTTAAATAAAATCAAATTAAAGCACTTGTCAGAAAGGTGCTGTTTCATCAGTTTTTCTTCGGAATGAACATTTTCATCATTATAATTTTAAAATGCCCTCCTTATTAGCTCTGTGGACTTCATTTTTGGCTGAAAATTCTTAAATGTTACATATATTGAAATTTTAATTTATGGATATGACACTTAGAATCTTATCCCACTGGCTTTGGGAATACTGAGCACAGAAATTTCTACTGTGTTTCTGCTGTCACTGCACGGAGGCAGTGAGGCATGGCGGCTGAGCATGGTCTCTTTTTTTTTTTTCTTTTTTTTTAAAAGGCTGGTCAAGTGGAAGAGCATGGTCTCTAAGGCCAGGCTACTTGCGTTCCTGGCCTGGCTCTGGCACTTGCTAGTTTTCTAATCCTGGGCCAATGACTTGAACCTCTATTCCTTGGTTCACTTACCTGTAAAATGAGAATAACAATAATACTGTTTTATAAGATTGTTGTGCGAATTTAAATGATTTAATACACAATGCGGGCCTAGAACAGTGCCTGACACATCATAAGCACTCAGTACACATAGCTGTGAATTCTGTTCCCTCAGTCACACTTGTCCTTCTGACTTAGACTTATTATACTAACAATATTCATTTACTTATTTATTTTACCAGTAACACTTATTTTCTCAAAACTCTGAACTTGTAGAGATAAGTAAGCACCATGTGTACATTATAGAGAACACATAAGTTTAATCCGTTCTACCTTTTCTTATTTCCATTTCTGGATTTAAGAGGGCTAGTAAAAGAACCCCCTCCTGAGTTCTGAACTAGAATGACAAAATGAGAAGAATTAAGCAGATGAAAGTATAAATAATCCACTTTATTATCAGTAAAGTTGAATTAAAAAGCCCACTTGGATCTGCAGCCATAACCAGGTTTCCTCATACTTTCTCTTAAGTCAAGATCTCGAAATGAGCTGCCTGAGGGCGTACTTGCATCTAGAGAGCACACCTACTTGCCCAGATACTTCTTTATATGTTATTAGGCCCAGGGAACAAAGAGAGAAAGAAATGGCCTTCCAGGCTGGCCTGCACAAGGCATGCCTGAGCTGTAGCTTTCCTGTATTTACCTTGTTAAAACACGCACTGCGCAGAACCCGCGCCTGCTGCTAGGGAGGAGGTAAGGAAACAGAAGACTAGCCTGGCTGCCAGGAGCCTGCTCAGTTCTCCCTCCCAGCCCCAGTCAGGCCCCACCTTCACGCTCTCTGTGAGTGTAGAAGGTACAGAAGGAAAAAGTATTTATATCATACTTTTCCCTCCCAGGGAATGGGGATTTGAATGTTTCCCCTGAGCAGCATACTGCTGATAGCATTACTTTATCTTTTTAGATGCTGAAATGAAAAATCTCTTCATTGTTTAATGGGATCTTTTAGAGTGAGAACTCTGGAGTTCATTCCTTTAGTCTTTTAAAATTATCTATGAAAGGTCTTTTGGAGGGTTTGTGATGTGGGCCATGGCATGAGGTGACCTCTTTATTAAATAGTTTAGAAGTCAATATTCTTGCTAAATATAATTACAAGTTATCCATGAGAACACCCTGGAAATGAACAATCTTAATATTTTGGCCCTGAAAAATGTTTCCATGTAAAAGCAGCAATAGGAGATGTTTTTTGTTTTTATTTTAACCTACTTTAAAAATATTTCTCCTAAGTTCCCTATAAGAATATTCTTATTGGGTTACAGATAGCTTGCTTTCTTTCTAAGACTATCCAAGACTGAAAGTTATGTCCTAGCAAATCATGCATTATCTTATACTATGTTAATTTTTAAAAGATAAAGATTATTTTAAAAATTTTATCAACAGCTTGCAGTTGCAAACAACAGGATTATTACCTTGCAAGAAGAAATGGAACGAGTTAAAGAGGAAAGTTCCTACATCCTGGAATCCAATCGGAAGGTTAATCTTACTGGATTTATAAAATATTCATAGAGAGCATGTCAGTGTGTTAGCGGTAGGGGAAAGTCTTTATTTTAAGCAACAAGCATTTGCAGGTATAAAGCACCCTGTGTTTACTTGGACTCCATTCATCACTGAGGGCATGATGAGTGTTCTGGGAGGGTGGTACCCCTTTTTCTACAGATGCTTCTTGGTTTCATTGCCACCTACATCTGTTTAGAGACTTTAAGAAACAATCTAATTCAGTTTCTTGTTTTTATGTACTAATGAGTCATACTGTATTTAACTATTACATCTGTTATATTAAATATGCCATTATTTTTACATCCTGTGACTGTTTTATAAGAAGTGACACCTTATTATTTGATATCACTGGGAGTTACGATATAAATGAATTTTCTAGATCACTTAATCCCTTAAAGCAGCAACCTTTTTAATACATATCTAATCAGATTTTGCAAACCTTTTATGTATCGTACAAGTCCAACCCTTCTTTTTTTTTCTCTAAAAATAACTAAAGCAGCATAAGCCTTCTTAATTAAGGACATAATTGTTAACACATTTAGCCCTGTATAGTGGGCTAAGATCATAATGATCACCATTGGCAATTCTGTACTGAGTTATAACAGTACTACTTTAGGAGGCTATTGAGATTGATAGAGCTTCTAACAGCTACACTTAAATATTCCCAGATTGCTGTGGATTTTTTTTTCTGCCTTTTATGAATTCACTAGCATCTCTTACTTTTTACACTGTTAGTGTTGCCATCTCTAGAAAAGTCTCCCCACTTCTTTTTATCTTTATGCTTCTAATCTACTGTGACCTAGGAATCCAGATATCCAAAGTTACTAAAATTGTTCTTACAGAATGGCTAGGCTCTGACTGGGGACTAAAGCAGTTTGTGAGTAAGGTGTTTGCCTTTAGTGCATGGACTTCATGAAAGAAACCGTGACTGCTCACAGGAATTTTTTGATGACTTGTTTATTTTTAGCTATAATCTGTCTGAATAGTTCAAGATGCCAGATGTGAGATCTCTGGAGAATGAGTGTATTACCTTTTAAGCCTTTGGTCCAATTCATATTTTTCTATGAATACTATATTATTCTTAGAGGCTGATTTTTAAAACTACTACCACCTGGTTTGGTAACCTATCTTAGGATTTTAAATAAAGTGGCAGGAAACCCCCAATTCAGTTTAACCTTTTAATATTTACTGACTTTTTCACTTTCTTTATTGTCTTTGTTCATGGTCATACCTGCTTAGGTATGATCATTTTTCCTTACTAAATAGCAGTGGTAGTGTCTGCTAATTCTGTATACGTTAATTAAATCCTAAATGCGTACAATTTTATTTATCTTTTCAAGGGTCCTAAGCAAGACAGAACTTCAGAAGGGCAAGCACTAAGTGAAGCAAGAAAGCATTTAAAGGAGGAGACACAATTACGATTGGTAAACTTTGCTTAAGTTTTAATAATTCGGGAACACAGTAAAAGTAACTGCCTACTTAGAAGTTTTATCATACAAACCAAGATTAGGGATATCAGTAGTGTAAAAATTTTTATAGATCCTGTAAAATTATTTCTCTTTCTTTTCAACCCACATTCCCTATAATGCTTTCTCAATCCTTTTCTGAGTATTCTCAAAAGCAACGAGAGTTTGCCGATATTTTTTTTTTTGCCTTTATAGTTTGTATTATAAAAACATTGGGTATATATAGAACCTACTTTTTAAGCTCTTTCCCTGCTGCGACAATGGGTCCGGTTGTCATGTATCATGCTCTGTAAACCTGTATCTTGCTCCCGCCCTATAATCCTATCTTTCTCTCCTCAATAAACCTTATTTTCATGCTTGCCTTAAAAAAATAAAATAAAAAATAAAAAAAAATTATGTAATCCCCACTCCTACCTCATCATCATGCCTGCAAAGATTCTGATATGTCTTCTTGGAGCAAGCAATTCCTCTTCCTCTTACAAAGAATCATTAATATAGAATTATACTCTTATTTTTAGCTGTTATTTCTGAATTTACTCTTGGTCTTAGATTTAAATGGATAAATTTATCATCCAGTATTAGTCTTAAGATTTTTTTTTTTTAGAAATTAAATTATATATATAAAAATTAATGAGATACAACCTCACTCCAATCAGAATGGCTACTATCAAAAAATCAAGAGGCCAGGCACGGCAGCTCACTCCTGTAATCCTAGCACTCTGAGAGGCCGAGCCGGGAGGATCGCTTGAGCTCAGGAGTTCGAGACCAGCCTGAGCAAAGAGCGAGACCCCATCTCTACTAAAAATAGAAAAATTAGCTGGGCATGGTGTTGTGGGCCGGTAGTCCCAGCTATTCGGGAGGCTGAGGCAGGAGGACTGCTTGAGCCCAGGAGTTTGAGGTTGCAGTGAGCTATGATGATGCCACCACACTCTACCTGGGTGACAGAGTGAGACCCTGTCTCAAAAAAAAGAAAAAAAGGGAGGTTTCATGTGAAGTGAGTCTAAAAATTCTGTTAGCCATATTGGTTATTCCTAGTAATTGAGATGACACCCTGGGGACCCAGAGGGTCTTGTAGGTTCCCAGGGCTCTTAAATAACAACGTTCAAATGTAGGAGAATCACAGCTGCTTCACTTTGTGCCAACTACTGTGACGCTTCATGTGTATTTCTATAGTAGGACATGACATTAGTGTCTCAACATCCAATGAAGTGCCTCAAGCATGTGTGTATTTTATATTTACTAGCACTTTTTTAGCTAAGCAAGGTTTTCAGATTTGTACATTATTGAGCAGATGTTATTATATATGCTAATTATTGTTGTTAATGTCTCTGAAAAGGAACGATAGCTTATAACTATTTTGCCGACTGTTCAGACCTAGGAAGTTTGGCGTACCTTTTCCTGTGAAATTCTATGGTCTGTGCTCAACTGAGGAAAGAGAGTGTAAGTGATGTACTTGCTTTGGGGGCAGGATGTCGAGAAGGAGCTGGAGATCCAGATCAGCATGAGGCAGGAGATGGAGCTGGCCATGAAGATGCTGGAGAAGGACGTGTGCGAGAAGCAGGACGCGCTGGTGTCCCTTCGGCAGCAGCTGGATGACCTCAGGGCTCTCAAGCACGAACTCGCCTTCAAGCTGCAGGTGGGGGAAACAGGAGGAGGAGACTCACGGCTCCAAAATCCTGGGGCTTCCCTCCGCCCTCTTGTTCTCTAGAATCGCACTTCACATACAAGAGGGAAGGGCCACATCTCATTTTGATGTTAGCTTCCAGTAAACCACGTTAAGAATCAGACCGTCGCAGGATCCCGTATTGCTGTTCTGGAAAGCCATGGCCACTTTCCACATTGTAATAGGGGGCGGGGATCTTTTCTATCCTATGAGATAATTTCTACTCTCCAGCCTAACATGCCAGCCGAGCTATCTATTCTAGTAGCGTTTATACTGGGATATGATAACTCAGTGACCCTTCTGATATTGTGATAGGGCTGCCTATAACAATACTAATTTTAAACAAATTGCTTTTTTTTTTTTTCCCATTTGAGAATTAACTGCTATACAAACATATGAGCATTTTTATTTTCCCACTTACCATTAGGTTCAAAAGGCATGTGTGATTTATATTTTAATATTTTTTTGTTAGATAGATCATTTATAATTCATTTCCATAACAGAGTTCAGACTTAGGCGTAAAACAGAAAAGTGAACTAAACAGTCGCTTGGAAGAGAAGACTAATCAGATGGCCGCTACCATCAAGCAACTCGAGCAAAGGTAAAAGTGCAGTTTCTTTAATGAAGCATTTCGGGCTGTCAGGGCTGGGAGTGAAGAGAACGTGCTATGCTTTCAGCAAATAGAAAGTATATGAAATTCTTTCCGCTTAACATCAGACATGCTGGTAGAAAGAAAGCTAATTATATTTGTTTGTGTTTTCTAAGATATGACTGAAAATGTTTTTAAGAAATGTCAGCTTTTTGTGACTTTTGAACATCAGAACTTGCACTTAATGCATGTCAGTATCGTGTGTTAGAGAAAGATCACTTAGAAGGGTGAAAGGACTTTTATTAAATACATGTTTGTGATTCTGTGATCTTATTGTTCATCACTAAAGCCTTTGGATATGTTGTTGCTAGGTGATGTTGGGATACAGGGAGATAGGTGTTCTCAAAGGATCTATTCTGGATCTTTCTGTCCCTTCTTTAACCCTTTTCTCTCCTCTTTCCTGTCTCCTTTTTCTCTCTACTTTCTCCTGAGTAGTTCTGTAGCTTTCACTGCCCCCTACAGTGTGTTTCTCCAGCTCTGACCCTCATCTGGAGACTAGTCTTGAGTTTTCATCCTCTGACCAGCTATCTTCCACCAGTACCTACAGTTCGGTCTGCCCAAACCACATCTTCTCCTTGTGCTACTCTCTTGTTTTCCTGTTTGTCTGAAACCACCATCTTTTTCCTAGTGACTCAGCAGCCGAAAGAAGTGTCTGAGATTTCAAGATTGACTGTAACACCACACCCAAGGGTGTTGGATGTTTCCACCTTTAATGTCCACTCATCACCCTTCTTGCACTTGCGCAAAACCAAACTACTGGTCCCTGGACATGCTTCCTGTTTTCCAATGCATTCCCACTAGTTCCACCAATTAAAAATGCCCTCCCTCTTCCCGTTCCCTGTTCTTCAGGTACATTTTTTACATTCAGGTTCAAATGCCACCTCCCCAAAGCTTCCTCTGATACCTTTCCCAGCTAAAAATGGTCTGTCCTTCTTGGAATTCCCATAGCCTTATGTGTGTATCTGTCTATACTGCTCATGACACTTCTGACTGTCTGCTTTACCTTGTAGCCCTTTGTATACGTTTCTTACCTTCTAATGAGAGTGTAAGCTTCTTGTGGTTAGTTAGTTCATCTTTTTTGTTTCCTCACTGAACCTGTCACAGTGCCTTGAATGTACAAGGCGTTCATTCTGTAGATAGGTGAATGAATGGATGAATGGTGACTTATTTTATTCAGACGATTCTTAACCTGGAAGTGTCTTGAACAACGGTGTATATTAATGTTAATTCAAAAGTTAATTGTAAATTAATAAATAAGCTTGAAACCTCTGGTATGGCTGATAAATCAAAAGGCATCAATCTACCTAGGAAAGAAAGTTATCTAAGTACTTGCTCATAAGCAGTTACATGTTTATGATTTAACATATCAGTTTTGGTGCTTATAAATAGTGTTCAAATGTACCTAGTTTTCAATGGCTTTTTGACTTGGATTTAAAGCAGGCAGAACTGAAATAATGACATATCTCTTCAAATATTAAGCTGACTTAATCTCTTGCTATTTTTGTGTTTCCTGTGTATTCTTTTTCTCATTCCCCTTTCACTCCATGTTTATTTTTATTTTATTCAGTGAAAAGGATTTGGTGAAACAGGCAAAGACCTTAAATAGTGCAGCAAATAAACTGATCCCAAAACATCATTAGGCATTTTGCAGTTGATCACCTCGCAAGTCTGATATCACATCTTAGTTGTAAAAGGAAGAAATCTGAAAGTTACTATGTTTAAGCTCTGACTCTGTATAAAATGTGACCAAAAATTGACTTGGAATTTGTCAGACTTTTAAAAAAGCAGTTGGATATATAGGTTGAGTTTTTTCTTATTGTCTCCCCAGAGTTAGAAAAATTGGTATAAATCCCTAATTAAATACTAAATAAAGTGGGAAATTATTTCTGAGTTGACCAATAAATAAAAACACCACTGAAAAAAAAAAAAAAGCCTAGGGAACTGAAGCTCTGTGCATATATTAACGATGCCTTTACAACCCAGTCCTTGATAATATCAGATTCTAGGTGCATCGTTCATGTCTGTGTTTGCAAGCCTGTTCTGCCATTGCAAAGTGAGGAACTAGAGGTAACTACCACGTGAACTTGGACTCCCCCAAAGTGGTTCTTTGTGTCCAGGCCATGACCCCTTTTCACTTTTGTTATATAGGTTTTAATCCCCAAGCCAAGGATGAGTGCTTAGGATTTCACCACAGTTCTACTCTCAGTAACCAAGATTGCTTGCAACTTTTTGCCTTAGTGACTTTGAAAAAGAAGAAAAAAATAGCATCCTTACATTTCTTTAAAGTACATAGAGATAAAGTTAGTAATTAGGTAACGTATGATAACATAATAACGTGGAAGCTTGGGAAACCCTCCTAATATTTGTCATCTTCTACCTCTGCCGTTTTTCTGCAATTCTGCTTCCTACTTAGGTAGCTCAGAGAGAACAATTTTAATAAAAACACTCCTCTCCTATTATAAAAAATATACTACACATTTTTCAGATCTATCCTGCTTTTCCTGTTGGAGTAAAGAGGACAAGGTTTAGACATGAGCGATGATTTCCTGCCTGTCATTCCTCACCTAGAAACATTGACTTAAGAGTTTCTGTTACTATTTGTTTAGATGGGGATTTGCTAAATGTTCTGGGAAACTAATAATTTAACTGTAAGAAAAACATTTCAGAGTAGGAAATAGATAAATGATCAACTTACATTCCTTATTATTATTTAGCGTAAAAATAAAGATTCCCAGTAGATATCCACAAGCAATATTAGCAGGGCTTCTTTTTCTAAGTGACCACAGACCTAACCCTTTCTAGGCTTTACATTGTAAATAATCCTATAAATACTTTGATTTTTTAAAATGACTTTTGATTTGGAGAGACAGGCTTGACACAAGCCTTCATTCCTTCAAAAGGTCTTGGCATAATATTTGTTTTTTTTTCTTTTTTCTCATTCTGGTATGCTTTGCAGCATTTCAGCTGCTTAGGTGGGGACAAAGATAGCCCCTTTGCTTCCAGCTCTTGAAATTCTTTACCTTCTTGGCAAAACCAGAATTAAGAGAGTAAGATAGAATTCATGTCTGCTTGTATAGGTCCTTGCATAGACTTGCACCAAAATCAAGTCAAAGAACGTGTAAGTTTAGACCAACTTCATGGAAGATCCTGTGTTCTTGAGCTTATTTTAGTTCTTACAATTTTGCACCTATATAAATATAACTCTTACTATATTCTTATCTTCATCAACCTTTTATGGTAAAGAGTTGCCTTTTCTATGAGCATTTGGAAGGAGTGATCAAACACCCAAATAAAACTTTTTAAAGGCTACACTATACTTCTAAATTCTATTATATAAAGCCCCAAATGCTTTACCTTCTAAATTAAAACATACTTCTTTATAGGAGCAAAGTTATAAGCTGTTTAGAAGAAAATATCCATCAGATCTTCCAGAGAATGTGGTCAGGAGTCTTACACAAACCCAGCGCCGAGTTCTTTGTTCACTCAGTGAGACGCCACTCGGTGGGTGATGGGATGGAAAAGGAAGGAGACAGCCAAACTCTGACAAAACCTTTTCCTTATAGAATAACGGAAAGCCTGGGTAGGGGTCGATGTATAATGTTCCATGGTTTAATGTATATGGTTTGGAGAAAGTACAAGAAAAACATTATAATTCCACGTATAAGAAGGTAGTTACCCATTTGCAAGTTCCAGTTATGTGTGTAAAATGGAAATATAAAGTACCAAACCTATTAGGAAATAAAAAACAAAAAAAAAGTGGATTTAACTTCAATTATTGTGTACTTGAGGTTGGCTTTGGATATGGATTTTCTAAAAAGTGATGTTTTATTGTTTATCATCTAATGGCTGTAAACTGTAGTACTAGAATAAAAAAAAAGTGGAAAATCAGCTTTTCCTCTGCCTGGTTCACCTTCATCTTGCTTTTCTTTAGAATTTATTTCTTCTCCATCTTTTTTCCCCCGTAATTTCTTCCCTGTCTCCTTCAATGTTTTTATTTATTTATTTTTTTTCCCCTCTCTCGGTCTCTCTACGCCTTCTTCCTTGGGTTGTTTTATTTTGTGTTGTGAACTTGGTCTTCCTCCCCACCATGGCTTTTGTTTTTTATCACAAGTTCATGTGGCTCACATCCAGATTGCGCCAGGCTGAGCGAGACCGCCAGTCTGCGGAGTTGGACAACCGGCTCTTCAAACAGGATTTCGGAGACAAGATCAACAGTCTGCAGCTGGAGGTGGAGGAGCTCACCAGGCAGCGGTGAAGAGGGGCAGCCTGAGCGGGCAGGGAGGTCGTGGGTGATTCTCAGGCGAGACTGCGGGGAAGGGGTTTCAGGGCTGTTGGCCGTCAGCTCTGTCTTCACGGTGTATCCTTCCTCTGGAACTGGGATCCAGAAAGCTTCACGCGCATCACCATTCCCCAAGACCTATAAACGTAGTTTGTGATCAGCGCATTAGGAAATTAGAGCTCAGGGTCCCAGATAAATAGTAATTAGTGGCCAAGAAAACACTAATAATAAGTTAATATTTCTGGAATTCTCACCGTGTGCCAGATACTTTATAAGACATTTTATATGCAGTCTCTCCTAATATCTTGACATCAGCCCTGGCAGGTGATGTTTCTGCCCCCACTCTCAGATGAAATTAAAGCTCAGAGAGGTTGAATGTGTCCACATCATACGATTAAGCTACTAAGTGGCAACACTATCATTTAAAAACTTCTCTCTCTAACTTCAAGCCCTTGACCATTTTTCCAGATTGTCTCTCAAATCAGACCCACTTCTGTGCTGAAGCCACTGACTTCGAAGAAATAGAACTTTGTTGGATATAAAGCCCATGGCTACTAAGGACACTAGTGGCTGAGAGTGTCACTGGGGATTAAATACATAACCGTAAAGAGAGACCAGCTAATTAATATGAAATGGAACTATAACATCTGTACCTTCATTCTGTATCTTGTTGAAAATTTAAAAATACTGTATTTCATTTATAGCAAATCCTACTGCTGGTCAATCAATTGGCCACAACTCTTCATTGAAAGTTAATATAAAATACTGATATTCAGAGCGGTCGCCCTCAGGCACTGGGAGATCCTGAAGTACATTCTTAATCATCCAAGAAGGATTTAACATGTTTTGTGTATCTCAGTGCTGTTGGTTTTATTGTATTTTAGTACTTTAAAGCTTGGTTGTCCGTATGTGCCTAGTAATTTGTTATTAATCGAGTATTAAAATTTAATTACTGAACTTTAGAAAAGGGTTTCTCATTCTTTAGAGAATATGAGTATAGAAATCCAAATTTTCTTCCTTTTTCTCTCCTTCCTATCCCAGGAACCAGCTTGAGTTAGAACTAAAACAGGAAAAAGAAAGAAGATTACAAAACAACAGGAACATCCCAGGGAAGGGTTCCCAAAAGCCAGAACCCAAGATGGTAATATTTGCTATTCCCTTCTTAATTTATTAATTTTAATTTGAATTTTAGCAGCCACTTTGATGGGCCTGTCTGTGTTCTTTCATGGATCACATACTCGCTATGGCCTCGAGTATGCAGATAGCAACTGGTGATGGTGTAAACATGAAAGCCTGCTTCTGAGTCTGCCTCTGGGACACTCTTTCTAACTTGGTTTCATTTGGAAAGGGGGATTTTAATAATCCTAATTTCCAGTGACACTCTTTTCCCTTTTAAATTTTTTGGTAAGATTATTATGGTATCTTAACAAAAATGTGTGTTTCTTGGATTCTGCTAATATTTTTAATAATATGGTATAATGATCCCTCCCCAATCCCTGAAGTCTCCTTTAACAGAGTTTTCTTAAATGTGGATTTGCTTGAGTGCATCTTTTTCAAAATCATGAGGGTTTCAATTTGAGTATACGCAAGGAACTTCTCATGGGAATAACTAGAAAGAGAGGGGACTAGGTTTGAGGAAGGGAAAGTAAAATTGAGTGGTTTAAAGAACAAAAGTAGAAATTTCTACAGAACGGTCTTCAAAGGAGAGAATTCCAGCTCCTGTAGAGGTCAGGGAGTTAAAATTGCGTAAGGTCATCTCTGGGACCCGGGAAACAGGAGCCAGCCTCTTCAAATAGTACAATCAGAAAAGCATGAAATACTTCTTCTATGAATAACAAACCTGGGAAACATTGCCTCCTTTGTGTACCTATTACATATAGCAAAACAGGACAAATTTATAAGTTTCTTATTTAAAAATTCTAGAGAATAAGCTACTGATTTGCTGGAGAGTAGAAAAGAATGGTACATGGACTTATATAGAACCTATTACTAATCTCTTGAAGTGTGCGAAGAACTACTCTGTAGCCTGCTGTCTTTTTTTTATTTCAGATCAGTGAACATAAAATCTGAAGGGTTTATAGAGATTTTACTTAAAATCTTGGCCCTTCTTACCCTATTTTTCTAATAAGGCTTTAAGTTTTCCAGTTTTTAATTTCTCTGCAGTGGCGTTTCGGTAAATACTGCACTGACCTCTCTTGCTTGATACCTGAGTGATCTAAGAACACACGTTCGAGCCGAGCACAGCAGCACATGCCTGTAATCCCAGCTATTCAGGAGCCTGAGGCGGGAGGATCCTTTGAGCCCAGGAGTTTGAGGGCAACATAGCAAGACCCCATCTCAAAAAGAGAAAAAAAAAAACCACACACACACACACATTGCACTTTTGCAGATGGGGAGCATTTCAAGGCAGGCAGCAGTGTGTGTACGCCACAGAAAGAATTTGTCCCTAAAAACTTCCAGGCAGGGTTTAAGAGTATTGGTAGAAATGTAAGTTAGAACTTTACATTGGTCCTTCAGAGTAGAAAACTTGAGTTGTACAGGCTGGAGAAGTTGTCGTAGCATTGGGGAATCTACTTAGTTAATGTCCAGAGGATGACACAGTCTGCTGGATACGGCCATGCTTGGCTTTGCCAGTTTTTCAGAGCTCAGTCAAGAAAAGCATTGTATTTCTCATAAGAAGAACTGATACCTTGAGCCCACTTTGCAAGAAAATAGAATACATTCTAAGTTTTATTTGAATCTCAGCAATTTAAGAAAATATCTACTCTGAAAATCAGAATTTGGAAGCTGAATCAGAATAGTTAAGATACTAGCTGGAGCAGAGAATGAGGAAGCATGCTTTAAAGTTAGATACTCTTCCTTTAAAAAGCCACTTAGCTTTATACCCGAACTAAGGCATCGTAAAAGAAAATGTCTGCAACATCATCGTCGTTTGGCATTCTGAATAATTAATAAATTGGGCTGTTTTCTTTTGGCAGGATGGGAAGCACAAAATTCAAGAGGAAAATGTTAAACTAAAAAAGTCCCTGGAAGAAAACCACAGGTGTTTGTTAATTAAGTATTTAACTAAGTATTTAACTAAGACGTAAAGTTATTTTGACATAAAGTTATTTTGGAGTGGTGGGAAAGAGGGAGATTTAGATGCACATTGCCATTGACACAGACCAAACACTGATTTATATTAATATTAATATACCAGAAAGACATTTTGATAACTTGCTAAGCTTTCTAAAAAAGAAAAAAAAAAAGACATTTTGAAGGGAAAAATGAATAAACCATATAACATGTATTAAAGCAAACCCGTTAGGCCATTTCAGAAGAAAGAAGGGTGGTCAGGCTGTCCTCTGACTCTTCCCTGCTTAATCCTCAAACTCAAATTATCACTGAAAAGATAATTGCTCACCTTTCCTGAATTAGTATTCCAAGAGAATAAAGCACGAGTCATAGCATTTCTTAGGTTCTCAATGGATTTGAGTATGACCTGTATCCACAAGTGTGTTAAATTTCAAATAAGTATTCTCATTTCCCTTACCTCGTTTCTCCTTTTCATAAGAATCTCAAACAGCTTAACTTCATTCCTTTTTCTTAACTCTTCATCTGATTTGCTCACTGTGAAGAGCACAGGGTTATTTCAAGGCAGCTGACTTTTAACAGTTATTTTAGCAGGTTAGAAATATAACAAAGTATTGCATGGTGCCACCGCATTAAAAAATGAAGGAGACCCAACTGTATGACATTCTGGAAAAGGCCAAACCATGGAGACGGTAAAAAAAAAAAAAAAAGTCAGTGTTTGCCAGGGGTTAGAGGAAGGTGGGCATGAACAGGCAGAGCACAGACGAATTTTTAGGGTGGTAAAACTATTCTGTATGATACTGTAACAGAAGATACATGTCACTAGACAGTTGTCCAGACCCATAGAATGTCCAGCACCAAGTGTGAACCCCTGTATAAACCACGGACTCTGGGTGACTCTGCCGTGTCAGCGTAGGCTGATCAGTTGTAACAAATGTACCGCTCTGGTGAGGAGTTGATAAAGAGGCTCGGGTGGGGCGGGGGCTATAAGGGAAATCTCTGTGCTTTCTACTTAATTTTGCTGTGAACCCAAAACTGCTCTAAAAATAAAAATCGATTTTAAAAGGTGGGGCGAGAGGTTAGTGGTGGGGAATGATACCATAGAGGGATTTTGAGAGGACCGTATGTACAGTGTCCATTTGGGGCAGCCGTCCCTGTCCAGGCTTTGTTGCCTGAAGAATGAGGTGTGTGTGGTGTGCCGTCTGGAGCAGAAGGAGCTGCTAGAGAAGAGAAATCACACAGCCAACAGCAGGCTAATGGCGCAGGTCCTTAAATACCCCTTCCTTGCCTCAAAGGCCAGAATGAGTCCAAAGTCTTTAATTTTGCCCCCAAAGAGCATGGTTAGCTAACCTTACACTACAGCCCGTCTAACATCACAGATTGGCACGGGCACAGGGAAGGGAACTAGAAAGGCCATAAAATTAACCGTGGCTTCCACGTGCCTTTCAGGGTAAACCTAGTTCCAGACTAAAATGAAATCATTTATTTGAACAATCAGGAGTGTCTGTTACATGTCAAGTTCTGATTTAGGCCCTGGGAATGTAACGTAATACTTCCTTATATCTGTACTGCGCTCAGCAGCTTAGAAAGTCAGTTCCACATTCGCTGTCTGCCCACAAAAATGTGTCTATTCCTACTTTACAGATGAGAGACCTGAGGGGCACAGAGTCTAGGTGACATACCCAGATTGCCTCTTCGTATCACGTCTTCTGTCTTTAAGTCCTTTGTCTCTGCACCACATAACATAGCAGCTTCTAGGACCTAATCTGGCTGGAACTGGAATCGTAAGACATACCAGTCTCCTGGGATTGTGGTCCAGGAAACATCTGAAAACCTGGTCACCCCATGTACATGTCTGGTGGTCACACTGCCACTTGACCAAAGAGAGTAGGAACCATTGTAATCTGTGGTGCATTTTCCCCATAACCAAGAGTGGGCTTTGATTCTCTGTTCAGGCTCTACTTTATGTTGGGAAAATCAAGGTTAGCTTTAGTTAGTCTCATGCAGAAATATTTCAACATGAGTTTTCATGTGACAATCTCATTCATTCCCTTTCCTTTATTAATTTGCTAAAGCTCACATTTTAAGAATATTTTGGAGAGGGAACTAACACATAACATACGATAATGATAGATGTCCATAACATCAGGTATTTTAAAAGCTACTAAGATATACGGCCGATGGGCCATTGGAGTCTTACATGCTGGGAAACATAAATGCTGACTATTTTCTTGATAGTAAAAAGGAAATGTAAAATATTACTCCAAATCTGTTTTTAAGTGGGAACCATTAATGTAGGTCGAAGAGTCAGATTCTAGTTACAGATTTAACAACCAAAATTTCTTCTCCTAGGAGGTCAAAATGAGTAATTATGTTGTTCCCCAAAATATAAAAGAACTACAGCATTACTTGTTTGACAACGTGTTTGTCTTCTGAGCTTTCTGTTGAGATGACATAAACAGAAGTGTACTAAGTTGCTGTTTGTTACTGTTTTTAATTCTCTGTTGTAGGCTGCAGTCTCACCCTGTGGATGAACAGGTAACAGAGCCTCCTGTTTTAAAACGTCTCGTATAAAGTAAGAAGTTGGTTGCACCATGCCTAGCCAGTAGACATGGGAGGAAGATGAATGGGCACAGTCCTGTTTATCATCCTTTTAACAACACCCTGAACAAGCAGATGTTGCCTAAAGCTCTCACAGGAAGCAGCCCAGCTTTGAGCAATTTGCTTAGTAAACAGCAGTTCTCACTTATTTGAAATTATCTCTGACAGGAGACCTAAGAGAGCTAGCTCACGTTACCTCCCTTATATAAAAAGACGGAGAAAAAATGTTTTGATCACTTAGAAATGAGCTGACATAAACGGTTGTATATATTTTGCAAATGTATACAAATGTATTACAAGCCCATGAGAAAGACAATAAATTCAACTATGTCTGAGTCACCCCTGTCACTTACCTGATAGGATATAAAATGAACCCTATCGCTCTCCATTCTCAATGGTAGAGTGAAACAAGAGGGTTGGGACAGTTTTATTTTTTGTTTTTAGAGACAGGGTCTCACTCTGTCACTCAGGCTGGAGTGCAGTGGTGTGATCATAGCTCACCGCAGCCTCTAACTCCGAGGCTCAGGTGATCCTCCCATTCAGCCACCCATGAGTAGCAAGGACTACAGGTGTGCACCACCATGCCCATGCCCAGCTAATTTTTAAAAAATTTTTTGTAGAGATGGGGTCTTACTATGTTGCCCAGGCTGATCTTGAACTCTTGGCCTCAAGCAATCCTCCCACCCCAGCCTCTGAAAGTACTGGGATTGCAGGCATGAGCCACCTTACCCAGCTGGGATGGGACAGTTTTTAAAATTTTTTACTTCACACTTCTATATGCTTGAATTTTTTTTTAGAAATAAAATTACATGTTACTTGTATAAATATAAATTAAAAGAGGTAGAAAGTGAATGATAGATTTTCAGAGTTGTATCAAGGGGGTAGGATTATACGTAATTTATTTTTTTTTAGTTTCCACGTGGTCTGTATTGTGGTGGTATTAATTTTGTTGCTGGAAAATGCATATTCTGAAAGTATTAATGTTTCAGGCACTAAGGGATACTAACTGGGTCGTTGTGGTTTAGGATCAGCCGCTGCTCTCTGCAAAGCCACAAGTGTGTCAGCTATGCCACGAGGATGGCAGCCCATCAAAGGTAACTGGTGAGAAATGAACAGGGTCTTCATAGATGCCGCCCACCGTACCACTAGCTTCCCAGCAATGCCAGGGACCTGGCCGTGTAGGGTGCAGGGTGGACTGTCCCAGCACCGGGTAGGGTGAAAAGCAAGAGCAGGCATTTGCCAGAAAACTGTTCTTTTTCAGTCATCATAATTCATGTCAGTAAATTCCCATAAAATAAAAATAAATAACTACATACACAGTTTAAAACAAATAAGCAGATATAAACTTATAAAGAATATTTTTGGAGTGCCTACTGTGTAGAATGTGCTGTTCCGTGTGCTAGAGAAAGAGTAATGAACAACACAGACCAAGTCTCTGTCGTTTTGAAGCTTATGTCCTTTGTAGCTGTCGTTCTACAAATGAAGAACCTTGGACTCAGAGATAAGAAGTACCTTTCCCAAACTTACTCTAGTCACAAGTGGTGAAGTCCAATTTCCAGCCAGGTTTTGGCTCCAAAGTATACAGTCCTACCCCTGCATCCTGCTCAGAACACAGGGAAAGGAGCTCTCCCCACCGGACCCCTGTTTTTCTCATGCATCCTCAAGGGTCTCTGGCTGAGCCCCTCCCCGGTGCATCATCCTAGAGCAGGCAGAGTGCAGGAAGCGTTCAGAAGGAACCAGTGCTCTTGAGAGCTGCAACTGTCTTGCTCACTGTAGTATCTATCCCCCAGTGTCCAGTATGGTACTCAGTCCATAGTAGATGCTCAAGAAACGTCACGTACAAATGAATGTATGAAACAAGTGCTTGGAAGAGATACAGGAGATGTGCTCAAATTCTAGATTACAACCCACACACCACCATTTGTGATCATGCTGAATTTTAACAAGTAAAATTCCAATATGACCTAGTCTTAAATTCACAGAATCAGATAACAGATGAACCATCTTTATAGAATTAGAAGTTGTTATTATAGAAATGGGTTCCAAAACAGAAGAAACTGCTACTCTACTTCTGGTTTTTCTCTTCTGAGCCATGCAGAATAACTTCAGTATGTCAGAGGAAAATTCTTCTCAGGCAAATAAAAGTGTCCCCTACTCTCCCGTACCCTCAGGCAGATGAATTATTTGGGGTGAAAGTTGCATTTCATCAAGTCCAACAGAGCTTAAAGGAAAAAAAGAAGAAGCAGCATTTCACAGGGGAAATCATTCTTCAGTGCCTTTTATATAGGACCCTGGAGCCCTGTGCGCACAGACCCGTCACGGCCCTGCCAGTCACTCTCCTAGTCCTTGGCCACTGGAGATTCAGACAGACAGTGCCCGTGCTGCGCTGATGTCCCACAGGACGTGCTTGCAGAGCGCCACAGGGAAGCATCAAGCACATCGGGGTATCAAGAATTATACTTTCAGCTCATACTCAAGATTTTTGAATCCTAGGATGTCCACCCTGATCCATTGCTAGTTCACTGACTGACTTGAAGTATGCTTACTTGCAAACTAGTTTTAGAATTCGCCTACCTAAAAGTGAATACAGGGAACAGAAGTATGAAATGTATTCCAAAGATGAATAATTTGTGTTTTATCCTTTTGAATTCTGTGGCGCTGCTGCTTTTCATTTAGATCTAAGAATTAGACCGAGTTTCTTTGTAGATCGGGACTGTATTTGGTCAGATACGATCCAGCACATAGCAAACATTCAGTCAGCATTGATTAGGCGCTGACTGTTTGCCATATTTGGCCTTTTATAACCCATGCATCCTTATGCCTTGCTCCTCTTCAGCTTCCCGCCTAACCTGCTCTTGTCCTCGTAGAATGTGTGTAAGAACTGCACGGGAACCTTCTGCGATGCCTGCTCAGCAAATGAACTGCCTCTTCCTTCCAGCATCAAGCCTGAGCGAGTTTGCAATCCCTGTCACAAGCATCTGATGAAGCAGTATTCCACCAGCCCGTCGTAAGCCCGGAAGCCGAGACCTGGACCGAAATGGTGACGCGGGGCCGTCCTCTACCTGTGTCAGATGTCAGCATCCCCTAATGCCCAGGCCTTAGAATCCACTAGAGTTGACGGGAGTGAGTTAAGTAAACTAGGTCCAGGGAGAAAACGCAGTTGAGGGTGGGGGAAATTTTGCTCATTTTCCCTAATGACCGTATGAATAAAAGTTAACTCAGCTGAGCCTTTCTCTTCTACATCTAAAGAGCCCTGCTTTGAAGGGCTTATTTTACAGCGTATCTTTGGAAAGGCTATTCGTGTTTATGAGTAGTGTTAATAATGCTGGGGTGGATGTGATAGAGTCCAAGCAGGTAAGAATAAAAGGAAGATGGTCATCTCCCTCTGTTGCATTTGCAGTTTCAAGGGAGAGAAAGAGAAATGTTAATTGAGATCAAAATGACAAATGTTACATATTTTCCCAGGTGCTGTTAGACAACAATGTTTCCTCTTCACCCCCACTAACTACCTCTTTTTTAAAGTCTCTCTTACCAAACTGTGAACCCAAACTCAGGGAAAAGAAATTAAAGAGTAATATAAATTCTGAATGTATGAAAAACAATATTGTAATATATTATAATTTCAGGACCAGAATATCCTGGTCTTGGCCTACAAGGGTTTTCATTATCAGAAGAAGAAAGAGCATTTGTCATTTTTCTATTTAAGGACTTCAAAACTAACTATCTGCCCTTTTCAGAATCTCCTACCACCAAACAAGCCAGCTCTCTTCCCCAGCGCCTCCCTCCTCTCCAAATTATAATGGAAATTGTTTTAAAGATAGGGTTTGACTTTTGCAAATAGCAAATGTTGATTAGAGCAAAGTCAAGTCAGGTATAGAGTAAAGCAAGTTTAATTTGTGGATGGCTGAGAACAGTTAGCTCAGACTGTTTATTGGATTATTTCTTGAATAAGGGATTCCTCATTCTGAGCCCAGAATCAGAGCTGGTAGACAGGTTTCCTGGAGAGGGCAACACGGTCATCCCCATCATCCACGGGGGACTCCACGAGCGCTCGAGTCCCTTACGTGAAGTGGCGCAGTATCTGCGCATACCCTGCGCGCACCCTCCCGTGTGCTTTAGATCGTCTCCGGATCACGCACACTACTGAACGCAGCGCCGACACGGCGTTTCATCTTTGTGGCTTTGGCATAGTCCTTGGTGCACTCGGTGAATTCAAGTTTGCTTCTTTGGAACTTTGTGGAATTATTTTTCCAAATATGTTTGATCCGCAGTTGGTTGAATCCATAGATGGATGTGGCGAGCTGACTGCGCCCCAACATCTATTAGTAACAAACACTGGGGGAAAGAGGAAGTGTATTCAGCAAGGGAAGGAAAGAAATGGTGTACACTACTTTGATTATGTTACATACGGCTAGATTGTGTGATTACAATTAAGATCTAAGAAGATACGATTCTGTGACTAGCTTAGAATTCTGGGGTGGAAACATCTGGAACCATTTTTTATTTGATAAATTCTGTCTCCTAGAAAGGTTTACAGCCTGGAAAGAGTTGTTATTCCAGAAGTCTGGCCTGTTACTTAGTGAAGCTGAAGTTTAAGAATATAAGGAAAAAATAAAATCTAATAATTCTAGCCTAGTTTGTTGTCTTTTTTTCCCCTAAATAATATTTTTGAGAGTCCATTCTCATTTTTTGTCCACCTATGGGAGCCAGCACTGTTTTAGGTGCTGCAAATAATGTGGGGAACAAAAATGGATAAAATGGAAATTATCCTAAATTAGCAACAGTTATTTTTATAATTACTTTTAAATCTAAAACAGGCAGCTTCACAATATGGAGTAATAGTCACTTGAGATTTTACTTAGAATTGCACATAGCTATTTAGCCTTTAAAAAAACGTTTTTTTTTAAACAAAGCCCAAAAATCTGTAGTGAGTGCAGCCTCCCACTAAAGCAAGTCATGTTACCTTGACTTAATGTTATACCCGTCTTCCTTAAAAATTGTGCTTTCCACGATTTATAATAGCACCAAGAATGAAATACTTAAGAAAAAGCTTAATCAAAGAGGTAGAAAACTTATACAATGAAAACTAAAAAATGTTGCCATGCAAAGTTAGAAGACATAGAAGATATCACATGTTCACAGACTTACTAATTGTTAAGATACCAATATTACCCAAAGTGATCTAGATTCAACATAATCCCTATAAAAATCCTAACTTTTCTGCAGAAATGGAAGATTCTATCCTGAAATTCATACAGAACCTCAAGGGACCCCCCCAAATAGTCAAATTAATCTTGAAAAAGAACAAAATTGGAAGTCTCATACGTCCTAATTTCAAAACTTAACTACAGCCAGGCAAGGTGGCTCACGCCTATGATCCCAGCTACTTGGGAGGCTAAGGTAAGAGGGTAGCTTGAGGCCAGGAGTTCAAAGCCAGCCTGGGCAACATAGTGAGACCCCCATCTCTTAAAAAAAAAAAAAATGAAAACAATTAGCCAGGCATGGTGGTGCATGCCTGTAGTCCCAGCTACTTGGGAGGCTGAGGTGAGAGGATCACTTGAGCCCAAGGGTTTGAGGCTGCAGTGAGCAATGATCGTGCCACTGCACAAACAAACATAAACCAATGGAATAGAATAAAAAGCCTAGAAATAAATCCTTACATATATGGGCAGATGACTTTGACAAGGGTGCCAAGACCAGTGAGGAAAGCAGTCTTTTCAACATAACGGTATTTGGAAAATTGAATATCCACATGTAAAAAAATGAAGTTGGACCCTTACACTATGTACAAAAATTAACTTTAAATAGGTCAAAAACTGAAGAGTTAGAACTATAAAACTTAGTCAAAAACATCGAACTTAGTCAAACTCTTTTTGACCCTGGATTTGGCAATAATTTCTTGGATTTGACACCAAAAGCATAGGTGACAAAAAATAGTTGGACTTCAGCAAAGTTAAAAACTTCTGCATCAAAGAACACTCAGCAGAGTGAAAAGGCAACCCCAGGAATGGGAGAAAATATTTGCAAATCATATATCTGATTCAATATCCAGAATATATAAAGAGACCCCACAACTCAACAACAGAAAAAACCTGATGAAAAAATGGGCAAAGTACTTGAATAGACATTTCTTGCAAGATACACCAATGTCCAGTAAGTACGTGGAAAGCTCAACATCAGTCATTAGGGAAGTGTGCACATCAAAACCACAATGAAGTGCCCATTTTACACTCATTAGGATGGCTGTTATCAAAACAGAAAACAAGTGCTGGTGAGAATGTGGAGACATCGGAATTCGTGCACTCTTGGTGGGAAGGTAAAATGGTACAGCAGCTGTGGAGAACAGCATGGCAATTTCTTAAAAAATGAAAACAGAATTTTTTTGTGATCCCGCAAGCCCATGTCTGGGTATATGCCCAAAAGAATTGAAAGCAGGGACTCCTACAGGTATTTGCACCCATGTTTATGGCGGTAGTATTCTCGACAGCCAAAAGGTAGAAGCAACCCAAGTGTCCATCAGTGGATAAATGGATAAACAAAATGTGGCATATACATGCAAGTGGAATATTATTAGCCTTTAAAACAGGAAATTCTGACACATGCTATAATATGAACCTTGAGAACATTATATAAGTAAAATAAGGACAAATACTGTATGCCTCCACTTACATGAGGTAGAGTAGTCAAAAGCATAAAGAGAGAAAGTAGAACGGTGATTCCCAGGGGCTTAGGGAAGAACAGAAGGTAGTTTCAGTTGGGGAACATGAAAAATTCCAGTGATGGATAGGTGATAGTTACGCAACAAAGTGAACGTACTTAATGCCACAGAACTGTATACTTAAAAATGGTTAAAACGGTAAATATTATGTATATTTTACCAGTTTTTAAAAACTGCTTCCCAGATGGCTACAGAAAGTAATTACAGATGAGTGTGTATATTTGGGTTATTACATATATAACTTCGCTGGGAGGGCCTAGCAGCAGACACCTCAGGAGCAGTGGACACATTTGACCCCCAGATCTTGTTTTCTAATTCTCCAGTACAGAGAAGCAGGGCTCCTTGGAGAAATGGCTGATTCTGGGGCATCCCAGAAAGTAAAGACGTGCTCTATAGACAAAAGGATGCAGGCACGTCAAAGGTACAGAAAAGCCAACTCAAAAAACTCCCAACGGCCAAAGATGGAACAGTCCAGGCAACAAAGTGAATAATGCAGTATGTGATTATAACCTAAGTAAGGTAAGTATCCATGAGTCCATACTGATGTAAATAAACAAATGGGAGGTAGCACATCTTAGACATTTGCTGGTTTGGAGACTGCCAATCACTGAGATCTTCTATTCTCAACATTCCTGACAGGTTGATTTTAACATACTAATTACTTTTGTACAGAGATTTTCATAAGCATGCTAGTCAATATACAAATCAGAAACCAAATACCTGAAAAGCACAATTTCTACACCTAGAATAAAAGGCACTAACTATAGTCGGCATATTATCTTGAAATAATAATAGAACCAGTAAGCAGTAGTAAGCATTGCTGAGGATATCAGATCCCTAAGACTTAATTAATTAACCATATTAAAGAAGAGGTAGGAGGCCTCCAATGCACAAGCAGAGTGAAAAATACTGTACGAGTCTCCAGCAAGCAGTAATGCCTTATTCTGGGGTGCTGCTTTCTGGCACAAAAATCATTCATATTCAATTACAAGGTCTACCACAAATATATTCTTACATTAGAGGTTAAAAACTAGCATAATATCACTTGTATTCCCCAGTTTGCTTTCTTGAGGAGACAAGGAATGAATGGAATTACAGCCAGCCTATCAGAAATTGTGAGTAATTCAGTCTCTCTAGCTCTTGCTCTTTATTCCCAAATACCTGCCACTTTCTGTCAAGAAGGAAAGGTTAGGCCGGGTGCGGTGGCTCATGCCTGTAATCCTAGTACTCTGGGAGGCCAAGGCGGGTGGATAGCTCAAGGTCAGGAGTTCAAGACCAGCCTAGCGAGACCCCATCTCTACTAAAAATAGAAAGAAATTATCTGGACAACTAAAAATATATAGAAAAAATTAGCCGGGCATGGTGGCGCATGCCTGTAGTCCCAGCTACTTGGGAGGCTGAGGCAGGAGGATTGCTTGAGCCCAGGAGTTTGAGGTTGTTGTGAGCTTGAGGTTGCTGTGAGCTAGGCTGACACCACGGCACTCTAGCCTGGGCAACAGAGTAAGACTCTGTCTCAAAAAAAAAAAAAAAGAAGGAAAGGTTAAAAGCCTCTTTATTTCAGCTGGAACCAGTTATGTTTTGGGATCATAAGTATCTCAGTGGACTTCTGAAGTTTTGCCTGTGGGCTTCAAATTAAGATTCTTAAATGTATCTTGGTGATCCTTGTGACTTTGACCGAGTCCATCCATATTCTAAAGTCTACCCTGGTTACACACCTGCATGCCTTATCACAGTGTTCTCAGAGTTACTCCACTAAGATGTCCTGACACAAAACCCAGAAAACATAAAAGAGGGGATTTAAGAATTCAGCCACATTAAAATTTCTGCCATGCTGAGCAGAGGACAAACTGGGGGGGAAGGTATTTAAAGCTCACCACAGGAATAAAGGGCTCCTGCCAATTAGTTGAAAGAACAAACTCAACAGAAAAGTGGCCAAAAAACAATGTAACAGAGGCAATCAGCAAAATTCAGATTATGGAAACCTACAAGTTAATCTTATTTCTTCAACGGGTAAGGAAAAAATAAACAGATAGCAAAACCAATTAAGACAAATAAGAAACAGGCACTTTAGCTTCATTAAAGAAGATATTTGAATGGCTAATAAGCTTATGAAAAAGTGCTCAATACCAATTGTCAGGGAAAGCAAATTAAAACGAGGTAACACTACACACACAGTTACAGACCAAAGCACCAAACACCTAAAATTATAGACAACAACAAATGGTAAGGATGTGGACCTACTGGAATTCTGTGGGAAATGTGAATTAGCATGACCATTTTGGAAAAAGGTCTGTCAACGTCTAGTAAAATTTAAATCAATATTACAACTCAGGATACTGGATAAGTATTTACCCAAAATAAATTAAAATGTAGGTCCATGAAAAGGCTTGCACAAGATGTTCATAGCAACTTTATTTACAATAGCCAAAAACTGGAAAAAGCCCATTGTCCATTAACTGTTCACCTAACAGGTGAAGGGTTAAACTGTGGCATATTCATACAATGGACTACTACTCAGCAATAAAAAGGAACAAAGAGCTGAAACACATAGATGACTATCAAAACACGTTGAATAAAAGAAACTTACACAAGAATACATACTGTATGATTCCATTTCTATGAAGTTCTAGAATAGGCAAAATTAATCTCTGGTGAACAAAATCCTAACAGTGATTGCCTACAAGGGGAGGTAAGGAGCAGGAGAGGTGTAGGAATTGACCAGGTACAAAAATGCTGATGCAATGCAAGTGCTCCACAGCCTCCTAGGGGTTGGGTTACACAGCTGTACATCAAAACTCATCAAATGGAGGTCCGGTGTGGTGGCCCATACCTGTAATCCTAGCACTCTGGGAGGCCGAGGAGGGAGGATCACTTGAGCTCAGGAGTTCG